TGGTCCCCCTTTCCTGCCAAAACAGCCCTGACCCGTATCTGGCTCCCAGATGTTAGCAACAGATCCTTTAAGCCCAATAAATGGTAAATGGTAAATGGCCTGTATTTATATAGCGCTTTACTAGTCCCTAAGGACCCCAAAGTGCTTTACATATCCAGTCATCCACCCATTCACACAATAAGTTGTGACAAGGGGCTTCCATTGATTGAACTTGTTTGTCCAGCACATCCCAAAGATGCTCGACTGGATTGAGATCTGGGGAATTTGGAGGCCAACTCAACACCTCAAACTCCTCAAACCATTCCTGAGATATTTTTTACTTTGTGGGAAGGCCTTCTTCCCATAGTGCATCCTGGTGCCAGGTGTTCCCCAGGTAAGCAGCAAGCACAAACCCAGCCATCTACATGATGTAATAGAAAATATGATTCATAAGACCAGACCACTTTCTTCCATTTCTCTGTGGTCCAGTTCTGTGTCCATTGTACAGTGACGTACAGGGGTCAGCATGGGTACCCTGATTGGTCTGCAGCTTTGCAGCCCCTTTCGCAGCAAACTGTGATGCACTGAGTACTCTGACACTAAAGTGAGCTACAGTAGCTCATCTATTGAATACATGGGCCAACCTTTTTGCTGTGAGGTGACAGTGCTAACCACCGCACCACCATACACCTCTTATATTGTTTTCCATTAAATTTTAAATGACATGGGAGAAGCCGCTATTATGACCTTCTGGGAATTCATTTCTATTTCCACTGTACTGCTATATGGCAACTGCTGTAACGTGAAAAGAAGCTGTATCACAGTTTATAATGGTTTTACCATTATAAGCTGTATCACAGTTTATAATGGTTTTACCATTACCCTCAAAGGTAGTTTGAAGATTAATCATTATCCCTATAACAGTTAAAGCAGAATCCAGGAATCTGCTGCATCAGCTGCACGACTCTGCTGATAAATCAGGTAGCAGACCTGAATCAACTGCTGAGCCGCTGTTGCATCAGTTCTTACATGTCTGAGTAAATATTGTCGCTGCTGGAGTGTGCATTGCTGTAGCTTTCATCAGCACTGTCATGAAAATCTACAGAATGATGCTGCTTGTTTATCTGACTTTCTCTTCACTTAACCATAAAAAGCCTTAAAGCCCTTGTGCATACAATTTATACTGAGCCATAATGAAACCATTTACGCCTGTTTGCATTAAACAAGTCCTCTAAATCCTGAGGGGTGACTATAACATCCTGGTGCGAAAGGTGAGGCAGTGGTTAAACATCAATCCACGCCAAGTCCTGTAATCCGCTCACGTGGTGTGCATGACGTTTGGTGATGTAAAGGTACGCTATTGGATCAAAACAGAGGAGCCTTCCTCTCAACAAGAGCGAGCCCTCGGTGATAAATATGGTGCATGTGATGGAAAATACATAGCACCCTTTCCTCCTACAGCATTATTTAACATCGGTGCTCTGTTTCTTGAAATTTGTCCTGCGAGACTGAATTGAGGACGGGACATACAGGATGTGCTTTTAACTGATTTCCTGAAATGCAGTTATGGTCGAAATCACCTGCCAATAGAAAAATCTAAATACTACTAAAAAAGAAAAGTGCCAGTCCTCGTGACGTGAGCCAGTCACCTCAGGTCGATGCCAGTACGAGCAAAGTAACAATAGCTGTGATTTTCTTGCAGAAGGGACACGATGTCTTATATGCAAAGGGGGGAGGGAAAAATCGTTGCCCCTGACAGAAATAACCCAAATGATGTCATTCATCCTAATCGTGAGCGCATCTTGCAAAATATAGGCCAACTGCACAGAAACAAGTGTATTTTAATTTGTTTAACTCTAATCAATCCTTCTCTTATGCTAACTGGGAGGAAACATTTCTCCTTGGAAGCGAAATCTGTCCACCGAGCAGGGATGAACTGTCAGGGAAGTGGCCACAATCTCCGGAGGTAGATATTATGTAACATCCACACACGGATCGTGATGCTCTCCGCTTCTCTTCCTGCTTTGAGGCAGAGCCCGAGACGATCAATTGTAATTCTCATAAAGTCAATCAAAGAGTGCGAATAGAAAATCCAGCAGATGACTTTACCTTTCTGAGCGCCTTCTACCATCCTCCCGGGAGCGCCGTCTTGTGCCGAGGTGGTGATGCGCTTTGCGCTCTGCTCACAGACACCGACCTTTGATTTGTCATTCGCTGCCAGTCAAAGGTCAGTGCGTTAAAAACGCCCTGTGAGACCTGCTGTCATGTAACAACTCCCCGGTAACTCCAGGTTAACCCGTAAAAAATGACAGAAACAACAGGAGGCTACGGCATCATCATATAATCAGATTTTGGAACATGATCAACAAACAAAGTCCCGCGATGGCGATTGGTAGATCTGTAGAAGATGTGGATGAGTTAAAGACGAGGCGGTGGTGGGAGCGTGGATGTTCGTGAATTTGTACAGTAGAAACTGCGCCGCTCAGCGCAACCTGCCTGAACTGAAGGGGGAAAACCCGGAGTGGACTGCACGGAGAAGCGAAGGGCAAGGACAATGTTTCCGTACCACACAAAGATGCGTTCAATAATTGTAAAAATCTGCACTGGTGACCGAAAATTCATAAAGCAGATTTTAAAAAACACACAAAAGAACCCCGCAATAGTCACGAGTTAGCTAAACGACACTAAAATGCAAGACATGCTTCAGATTTGGCACACATTGCAATCAGTGGCGGTCCTAGCCTGTTTGGCGCCCTGGGTGAACACACCCTCTGGCGCCCCCCTCCCCTCCCCCACC